CATAATCAGACACATAAACTGAATGTTCTCGATCGACAAATATGTAGCGGGGTTTATAGAGTTGATTAAGACAATTTCCTTTTCCATTGCCACCTGCAACCACAGTGCTTTGAGTGTCACCAGTTTTATATCGTCTGACTTCATGTTTTTCATAGTCAACGACATACAGATAACCATTGTCGCCCATTGTCAAACCCCAGGAAGAGATATTCGAAATAATTGTTTCTCCAGGAGTACCATTTCGACGAGGCCATCGAACTACTCTGTTATTCCCCCCATCGCTGATGATGAGACTATCGCTGTCTTTGTCGATAATCACATCTCGTGGCAATTTTAACTGATGAGCTCCATTTCCATCAGCAACCAATTTTCCATCCGTTGCACCAATTTTCCATTCCACAATACGATGATTACACTGATCAGCGACATAAATCGTTTGATCGTCGTCGACGTATAAACCCAATGGGTTAGAAAGTTGATTAATTCTACTGCCCTGTCCATTTCCTCCAGCAACAGTGATGCCATTCTTTGACCATGTTGAATTCGGATGAATATTAATGGAACTTGCACGTAGTGGTGGTACTAAATTGAAACAAAAGTATGGAGTAGAAATAAAGAGTAATTTCATTGAAAATGAATTCTCCATTTTGCTAAGAAATTCATGAGAAATTTGTAATTTAATTGGTACGATCAGAAAGAATTAACAAAAGATTTATCAGAATAAAAATCCAGCTTTTTTAAAACATATTTATTGAAACTTACAGCTGCAATCGGGATTTGTTTTTATTATTGTACTCTAGTTATATTGTGAGTCAATGACGTAACCAGGAGTATGGTCATTGGACAATAGAGCAATGCAAAAGAATCTCGATAGATATGCATGTTCGAAGACTCAAGGGATGTTATTTCAACAGATTGTTTCTTATTATGATCAAGCACTTACCAAAATCAGGAGAAAAATGAGTAGATTTTTTCTTTGAATTTCGAGATAAGGTCCAACTTGTCTCTCGTGTAGGATGATAGTTGTCAAAAGTATTTTTAAAGAGTTATTCTATAAGCAATTATTAGAATGTAAAAAAAAATAGAAGACGAAAGAAAACTCAATAAGTAGAATAAATTAGAACAGAAAAGAATACATAACCAATTTACTAAACTATTCATGGTCTGAATCCCTTGGATTGGTCGGAAACTAATTGTATGAGAAATGCAAAAAAATGGGAGAAAATATCTGATATCTTCAGACTACACAATTAAAAATTATAAAAAAAAAGATGGAATACGATTGAAGATCTCTGTAGAAACTTTGTGTACTTGTGTATAATAGAGGAATCGGATTCTTCCAATACAGAGAGAGGCATAGATTTCAAAAGATCTCGTTTACTTAAAAGATAATTATAAAATTGCGTACAAGGAATGAGTATCCAGTGTAGTTTTTAATTCAATTTCGATTATTATTCCATAAATATTTCTTCTTTTTCAAATGAACATAAACTTCAAGTAATATTTGAAAAAATGCCTTTTCTATTTCTAAATATTTTAACACTTATAATTTTGACTTGAAATTCACTGCGTCAGCATTATCTTAATTATGATGAGATCGATTTGTGTATCTTGAGAAAATAATTCAAAGTCTTCTACTACAGAACTTGTATCTTTCGATTGATATTTTTCTTACATAAATCAATCGAATATGTACCAGAGACCGTCACAGGGCAGGGCTGCCCTGATGCCCTGACGCCCTGCCCTGCCCTGCCCTGTAGGGCAGGGCAAATTTTTTTTTTTAGCCCTGTCCTGCTTGCCCTGCAGGGCAGCCAGGGCAGGGCATAGGGCAGGGCAGGGCAAATTTTTTTGCCCTGCCAACTTTTTTTTGCAAACAATGTTTGAGAAAGATTTTGTAGTCAATATTGTTGATATCACAAACAACTACAGCAGATGTCATGACGAGCTGATGTTAATTATATGATTTTGTCGCTGCATGTAGTAGCGACAACGATTGTGTTTTTTATTAGGTACAATACAGTCCAGTACAATTACAAAAAAAAGATGACAGAAGATGAGAAAAAATCTCGAACAATGGTTGATTATAATAAGGGAACAAGTTACTTTGTGCATTTGATCTATTAATTTTACTGTTTTACTATATATTTCTATTTTTGAATTTTGTCTTTTAGAATTTAAATCATCTTTAACTTCATCATTGAGTAATGATATAATGTCTTCACGTAGTATGACTAAATTGTGTCGTTCTGATGCTTCTTCGAATTCATCATCAGATTCAAATTCATCAACAGATTCAAATTCGTCATCATCAAATTCAAATTCATCATCATCAAATTCAAATTTATCATCATCAAATTCATCATCATCAAATTTACCATCATCAAGTTCATCATCATCAAGTTCATCATTATCAAATTTACCATCATCAAATTTACCATCATCAAGTTCATCATCATCAAATTTATCATCAAATTCAAATTCTTTCAATTCCGAGAAGATCAAGCATCTTTTAATCTACGAAAAATCGAAGTATCAGATAATGGAAAATGAATCACCATCTGCTGCTGAATGGTGGCGAGCATTTGGTTATCCTGCACAGTTAGATGAGAATAAGAAATTACAAAGAATTATTGGGTTTATTAGTTGCTTTAGGTGTATGACCACTCAGGTTTATAACAATTTAAGTGGTACAAAACGTTTTAAACAACATGCAGATAAATGCTTTCCTTTATCCAATACGACAATAACAACATCATCATCATCATCATCAATTAGTTTTACTTCGTCTTCAACTCCATCAACACAAACAAGATTAAACCAAATGGGTTTTACAAAACAGGTAAAATTTACAGAAAATGATATTACAAAAATGAAAGATTTATCTGTAAAATGGGTGTGTGGTGATATCAGGCCTTTTAGTATATTAGATGATATTGGTTTTAGAAATTTAGCTCAAGAATGTGTTCGTCTGGGTAAATAGCCGTAAATATGTGCAATTTATAATTTTATTTATGTCCCTATTAGGTACTGTGCATGGAATGTTTGATATTAATGAAGTACTTCGTGGTGAAAAATCCATATCACGGCACGTTTCATCATTTGCTGATACTTCACGTGAACAAATCAAAGAAATTTTATCAATTCCTTTGAAAGAACATTCATTAACAATTTGTCCGGATTACTGGACCGATTCATACAAAAAGATTTCATATTTAGGCGTAACTGTAATTATTGTTGACAATGATTGTCATTATAAAACAATTGATTTATTTTGTAAACCGTTTGAATACGAAAAAAAGACCGCTGAAAACACTTTGAACGTAAGTCTATTCGTTTTTTCTGTCGTCTACTACTTATAGATAGATAAAATATTACTTAAATTTTTTTCGTGATCTTTTTGTATAGATTTTTTTTAAATATAAATCCATTAAGATCTATTAATGAAAAAGTATTTTGACAAACATTCGCTGATAATGAAAGTTTTCGCAGTTTACGGAAGAGTGTTTCATCTGTTGCAATTGCAAATTTAGTATATTTTTATTTTTTTAGGCACTTCATAAGTATTTGGAATTTTTCGGAATTAACTCATTAGCTGATGTTAATATTGTTTGTGATCGTGGGAGCAATTTTGTTTGTGCATTCAAAAATTTTCAGCCGATCTTTTGCTATGGACATAGAATCAATAATATCGTAAAAATATGTTTTTACCAGAACAAAACAAAAAAGAAAAAAGCTGCTGCTACTGCTGTTGTATATGATGATACACCTGTACTTGATGCTGAAACAACAGCTAATTATAATAGTAATGAAAACTATGAGTCTTCTGCTGATGAGAGTGAATCATCAACTGATGATGAATATAATAATATAGTTTCTTTACCAGTTGTTCGAAAAAAAAAATCTATTTCAAGAAAAATCGTTATGGTAAGAAATGAATTATCAGTCTCTCAGGTGAAAATCAACGCCGATCAAATTCCACAACCAGCTAAACGTGTTCTTCAAATTTTAAACAAATGTAAGAAGGTAGTCAAGTACGTGAAAAAAGTAAGTACTTCTCACAGAATATTTATCTTTTATGTCAATTTACATTACCATCTTATCTCATTTTGACTTTTAGACAGGCATCAATAATGATATCAAAGAACAAGGTGGTGTTACATTACATCAATCATGTATTGTTCGTTGGTTATCTATGTCAAATCTTCTAGAAAGTCTTTTACAATCATTTAAATCTACAAAAAGATTACTAGTAGCTCGAAAAAAACAATCATTAATAAATGATTTAGATGAAACAACCATCAAACAGTTGATATTACTTTTAAAACCATTTAAACATACAATGACATTAATTCAAACAGGAAATGCTCCATCCTTACATATGGTGTTATTGTGTACTTTGATATTAAAAGATGCTTTATCTTCATATAAATCATTAATTAATTACAAAAAAAATTATTGTAATTCGACAAAAAACAACATTAATGATAATGAATTAGAAGAAGATGAAGAAGCTGATGAATTAGAAGGTTAGTATTGAAGAAAAGTTTTGAAATAAGATAATCCATTGACAGTATTGTAATTTTGATAGCATCGTGTTTTGAATCTTATAATTTATCCTTACGTCTTTGTTAGACATACATGTTCTAAGTAAATCATTTTTGAATGATTGTCATTGGTATAGATGTTCGTTGAATTATAAGCCAATTCCCTATATATTTCAACCAAATACTTTTCATTTAGCTTATTTATTGTTTTAGGTATTACATGGTTTCGTGAACGTTTGTTAAAATTAATCGATGAGCTATTTGTTCTTGATGTTCGTCATTATTGTGCAACAATGTTGCATCCTAAATACCGATTATTAAAAAATTGTACAGAAGAAGAACGTTCACAATGTCATAAATATGTTCGTGAACAATTAAAGATAATACGTGATTCAGATTCAACTATTGATGCATATAAACAAACAGCTGTTCCACCACCAAAAAAATTCAAAACGGCTGATACACTTTTTGCTCGATTCGAAGATGATTGTCCATTTGATACTCCTGATGAAAAAGTTCAATTAATTGATTATTCAAGTGATGAATATGAATTTAATATAAAACAATCCGATGAATTGGATAGATATTTAATTATGCAAATCGATAAATCAACACTTACAAATAATCCATTAGATTTTTGGAAAACTCAATCAGAAAAATTTCCATTGTTATCAAAATTGGCCAAACAAATTCACTCAATACCGGCAACATCAACAGGTGTTGAACGTCAATTCTCGTCTGCTGGTTTAATCATCAATCAACGAAGAACAAATTTAAACCCCGAACAAGTAGACAACATTCTTCTTATTCGTTCATTACAAAAGCTGTAATGAATAGGTACTAGTCAGCTCTCTTATTTATTATTGTAATCTAGTGTTTTTTTTGTTATACATATACTTTTCTTGTGCAGTGGTTTCTTTTTTTTTTGTGATAATTTTCATTGTTTTTTTTGTTGCTCATGTATACAGTGTTTTTTTATGATACAACTGCTTTGATTGAAGTCTTATTTTGAAATGGTGTAAATAAAACATGATTACTGAATATGAAAACGACTGCATGGTTTTTGTCAGATCATCAGTCCTTGCAATAGGTAAACGCAGTTATAAGCCCTGCAGGTGGCCCTGCCCTGCCCTCAGG